TTGGTAAAATATGTCTGATTATTGCTGTTAGCATTAAAAGTTTTGCAACAACAAAAGGAGTGATGAACATGAAGATTATCATTAGATAATATTTAGTATTAGATGCAGCATTTGCAAAGGAATATGCACAGAGCCGTTAGTTTTTGAGGCGACAAAATGAAAACACCTAGTTTTAAGGGGTAAATCACTTGAAAAGCTTATTTGCTTTGTTTTCTTTTCGAGGCTCGTTTCAAAACCCTATGCATGGAGAAACTGCTGATTAAGCAGGAACAATTCTTTATCATTTTACTGGGGAAAAAAACAACCGACCTATTTATAAAATTAGCTCCATTCCATCTGATTCTGAAGTTGAAAAGGAAAAAATGCTTTAGGCCCACGAGGGCCTTTGATGGTCCCAGTTCCTGTAAAAAGCTAATTATTGTCACCATGGCTCTTGGAGAGACTGCAGAGCAGAAGGGTCTGTTGAAGCAGAGTGAGCACGTGGGGGAGGCTTCTTTGTGTCCAGATCCTTTTTCTGACCCCCCCCTTCCCAGCCCCCAGGGAGGGAATATTCTCCTTCATGTTCCGTTGGAAGCTGATCTCCCCCAAAGAGAGCCCTCCCTGCAGTTACTAGAATTTAGCAAATTACATACTTTCAAAGTTGAGAATCTGTCTCCTTTCCATTAAATCAGCCGAACTCAAGCTGTGGGAACCATATTTGCTTTCTGAAGTGTTTTCTGATTTTGACACTCAAAGAAATAATTTTCTTATTAAGTGGTTCCCTGCACTTTCAACATTGTTCTGACTTTGATCATATGATATAGTTGAGGTTGGAAATTATCTAAATTACTTTGGTGTTTTGGGAGTTTTCATGATCGTGAGTATGAAAAGAAATCATGGAATCACGTAATTTCATGATGTGAACAACAACAACAAAAAAATCCCATCGATTTACATAATCTTCTGAGCACCCGAAAGGGGAGGAGTGGGGGGAGGAGACCCAAGTTTGCTGAGTGGCTCCTGTGTGCCCTACACGGTGTGTGGAGTGAGCTCCTCTCCCACCGGCATCACCTGCCTGTGTCCTCCCTCCTCTCTCTGACCCCCCCTACGTCCCCCATGCACCTGACCCACTCCCCACTTTCTGAATGAGCGCTTGTTCCTGCCGAGCAGAGGGACGGAAGCAGGGAGAGAGGTGTTGCAGGCCCAGGTGGTGAAACGCAGGGCCGGATTCCTCAGAGGCCCAATGAGATGGGCATGCTAATTGGATTTGGTGGCAGGTCCTTGGTGACCTTCCCAAAGCACTCGTGTGTCGTGGTTAGAGAGGAAACCGGATTTAGGTCAGTTGAGAATGGAATTGAAGAGGAGGAATTTAAAAGCATAGACTCTTTTTATGAGAAGCTGAGTTCTGCAAAGGAATCCATAGCAAGAAGGTCAAGGAGCTTTGAAGCAGAACTATTTTGCCAAGATGTGAAGACTGACATCTGTGTGGGCCAATGGGGATAGAGCCAGGTAGGGGCACAGTTTATTTTATGGGTTGGTGAGGACTGCATTGATACTGAGATCTGGACTATACCTTTAAACCTTTTTTGTGTGCCAAGATGTGATCTCCTTTATTTCTCATGACATCCCTATTATAGAGAAGGAAAATCTCTACTCTTAGGTTTAGTGGCTGGGGCCTGCGAATTAATCCGACCACAAAACAGAATAATAGGAGAAAAGGTTTATGTCGCATGCACAGGGGCCTCACAGAAGAGAAGTGAAAACCCAAAGAGGCCATTATGCTTGAGATGTTTACGTACCATTTTAACAAACGGCAATGCAGTATGGAGAGGTGAGAGACGAAGGAAAAGGGTTTGGGCTTTTAGGATGGTAAATTGTGGGAAGGTAAGTATAAGGGAGACTAATGGAACTTAAGGGTTTTTTAGTAGAGTTGGTTTGTGCAGACTCATCTCCTCGAGTGACAAGGGTTGCTCTCTTCCTCCTCCGGCTACGGAAGTGAGGAGGGAACACCTTTACGAAGGGAGACATGTGTGTGCAGTTTCTCAGTTGCCTTCAGCTCAAAATAATCCTATGCCAAAGTGGCATATTTTTAGGTGAATGTTCTGATCCCCTTATGAACGAGAGAAATGGCAGTGCCCCCATCATACAGAGGAGGAAAGCCAGTCAGGCACCTCAAGGACTCATCCTTCTACAGGATGGAACTGGGGTTCGATCCCAGATCTGTTCACCTACAAAGGTGCCTGCCTATCTGCTGGAGGACACCGTGGAGACTTCTGTGTAAGGTGTGTTCTCCACAACCATGTCATGAACAACAAGAAATCGAGGGAGGGATCCCTGGAGCATGATTTTCCTCCTGGAGTTATGCAAACACCTTTATGCCAGTTTATCGGGAATAGTGTTTATTAACTTCACACTCAGCATTCTGCCGGTTAGTTGGGGGTGGGGTCCGTACAACCGCTCGTGATCAAGGGCATAATACAACGACCTGAGTTTCCATGTTTTGCAAGGAGCAGTAATTCTGACTCTGGATGGTGGTACCAGCTGCCAACCGAGTTGTCTTCCTAGAGGTAGCTGTAATATACTAAGATGTCACGAACTGAAGAATTATTCAGCTCGCAGCCCAAAGTTTGATAGAGGGCCTGCTGAATTTGGCAACGCGTGATGTGGCATCGGAAATGCCATGGGAAAATTATTCAATATTGGACGCTTTTGACAACTTAATGGCTGCCTGTTCCCAGGCTGAATGGAACTCTGGAAGGCATTTTCTTTTCACCGTCTCCAAATGCATTTCGCTCTGCAGCAAATAACGTGTAGCTCTGGGCCCTTCCTTGCGAACACAATGGAAAGAATCAGTTTAAATTTTATTGTCTGTTGATAAATGCTTGGTGCATTATTTCAGCCAGCTCTAATTGGATTTATTTTTAAACTCGGTTTCTGCAAATTGTACTGACAGTAAACAATAAAATCAGATGATTATTCTAATACAGAAAACATAAACACAGCAAAAACATAAACACAGCAAAGCTGCGGGAGGGGAAGAATGAAGCGGGGGAAATCGGAGGGGTAGACGAACCATGAGAGGCGATGGACTCTGAAAAACAAACAGGGTTCTAGAGGGGAGGGAGGTGGGAGGATGGGTTAGCCTGGTGGTGGGTATTGAGGAGGGCACATTCTGCATGGAGCACTGGGTGTTGTGCACAAACAATGAATCATGGAACACTTCATCTAAAACTAATGTTGTAATGTATGGGGATTAACATAAGAATAAAAAAAAAAATTTACCCATCAAAAAAAACCAAAAAAAACAAAAAAACACAGCAAAGCTGCTTGTACGGCCTCGTCCTGGCCTTTTAGTGCCTCGGCAGATTGGCCGGCCCGTGTGCTCTTGCTGGGGATTTATAGGAACCTTGCAACATAGCAGAGCGCTACCCCAGCTCAGAGAAGACACTTGCCACGCTCATTGCACAGTCTAAAATATTCTTGGATTTTTTTTTTTTTTTTTTTTTTTTAAGATTTTATTTATTTGCGAGAGAGAGAATGAGAGACAGAGAGCATGAGAGGGAAGAGGGTCAGAGGGAGAAGCAGACTCCCTGCCGAGCAGGGAGCCCGATGTGGGACTCGATCCAGGGACTCCAGGATCATGACCTGAGCCGAAGGCAGTCGCTCAACCAACTGAGCCACCCAGGCGCCCGCACAGTCTAAAATATTCTTAAGATCGATTCTTCAGTTATAATATGAGGGAGCTTTGTTGTTTTTCAGAATTAAATCAGGGCACAAGGCATATGCCAGTTGTGGTCTGGAACACTTCAGACCCACCAATGCTGTGACCTAAAAACCTGGGCCACATACGTTGATCTCCGTCCTCCCACTGATACTGTGCAGTGTCCTCCCCAAAAGCAGCGGGGACTTTGGCAGTCAGGGCATTTCTCACCCCCTCAGTGGTGTGTGTTTTGCCCTGAAACCTGAAGCATGAGCTCAGTGCCTGGCTGGTTTCCCTGGTGGACGGGGAGACACTGCAGGCGTGCTGGGCGCTGTGTCCCAGTCCTGTCCCTGCTCCTGGAGGCTGACACACGGCATATCCTCAGCAAGGGGCCTTTCGTGGAACTCCACAGCGTGGGTGTCGGCGTTCCTTTGGAGGCTGCAGTGTACCTTCATGTTCTTTACGCGGTCTGTCCAAATGGCAGCATCTCTGGAACATGCCGGACCATAAACGTTTGTGGTTAATGATGATTTGCTTACAGAAGGGGGAGTGCCCCGAGGGATCTGAATTCCGCGATCTTTCCATTCAGGGGGCACATCGAGGTTAATAGGAACACGGGACCTTCTCAGAGCCTGCAGCTGAGGCTCACAGAGCAGAATGTCCCATCTTTCTGGGAGTGTAACAGAAGGCAGTGACCACAGGTGTTCTTCCTCGGACTTGGGAATTGGGAATAAAGGGGAGGTTTGAGGAAATAGGATATCGGATGGTATTGGTTACTCCATGCAGTCCTTTGAAGCGCTCACATCTCAGAGCATTGTCCTCATGTGAAACGTCCGTGTATTGAGCCAGCATCAGGTGAGTTCCAAATACTTGGTTAGTCTCCTGACAGATATCTGAAGTCTGTTCAGAATTATGGGCACAAATCTGTTGCCTCTGTCTCACTGATTCTTTTTGAAATTTACTTTCAAAAATAAAATGAAATTCTCAGTAGCCGATCCTACCACAGAGTTATCCTGTTGGAGATAATCACTGGCTCTTTGGGGGAAATAGATCCGTTTTTCTTCAATCAGACATGCTAGGGAGAGCCTGCCATCCCCTCTGGCCAGAGGTTCACACGTCTGCCAGAGGGATTGGATTTTACCACCCTTTTTATCCGGTGGATGGTGAGCCGAATCTGTGTCTGGCTGCAGAAATGTTCTACCCAACTTAATGGATGCGTACCACAAATACTTCTCGTCAGCTGGGTGGTTTTTGCAGCATTCTTATCTTAGCAGGAATGGATGCAGTTGAAGTTCATTGCTGTTCTTTTTTTCCCCAACAGGTTCTTAGCATGATAATCAATGCAGCTTACAAGCCTGGAAGGGTATTGAGAGAATTACAGCTGGTGGAAGATCCACACTGGAATTTTCAGGAGGAGACGCTGAAGGCAAAGTAGGTGTTCTCAGTCCTGGGAAACAAGGCTCTTGTAATGGTTAGCCCGCTACTTTGAAACTCGTCATTCCTCTTCCTGACACAGCCCACAGAAATGGGAATAAAGGGGGAGGACTGTCATTCTTTAGTTCTGTGTGCTACGTACAGATTTATTGGTGTTTCTGTTACACGGAGTTGCCTTAAGCCTTGGGATTCCGGAACTAAAGGAGAGATTTGTTTAGCTGATACTTTATTGTGTTAAACATTCAGAATCAGAACGTCCTGTGATTCAGGGCCAATAGATTATTTGATCGGAAGGGGAACAATTATAAGAGAGAGGATATCTGTTACCATCATTATATGTTATTCATTAACAGCTCTTAATATTTGATACTGTAAAGAGCTTATGCCAGGCAGTTAAATGTTCTTTGCTCTGAGAGTTGACAGTTTTAAAAGATAAAAAGAACCCATACCTCTGCTTGGCTTTGGTTGACGGGCTGTGGGTTGACATGGGAAGAGAACCTTGTTTTACACTCTCACACCCCTTCACTTCTTTTACTTGCAGATAGGCTAACTGGAGAGATGATGTTTTGGCTTTGCTTTGAGGTTCTCGAGCTCTGAAATTGATAGCACCCCCTCTGGATCGATAAGCTTGAACATGGTAGTTTAGAAGGCAGATAGAAGAAGATCCAGTTCTCAAGATAATTTTCTTTCATAATTGCTTTGACTTCCGGTCCTTGGTGTTCATTTAGCTTTTCAACAGAATAGATCTTACTGGTCAACTTCTTGTAGAACAGTGTCCTCAAATAGCCTTTAGATGTGACATTTGGGAAACGATAACTTTTTTGAACAGTGAACCACGTTCAGTGGCTAGAGTGTGGCTGAGGCCTCCTTTAAAGAAAGTACCTTTCCTGTTTGTAGTGAAAGTTGAGGGATGTGAAATGGTTTGTTTGACCAGTAGTATTCTCCCGTGTGGTTAACTTACTACTCTGGTACGGAGTAAGGATGGTGAGATACTGCTCGGCTGCTCTCCACTCGTCTCTTCTACACTCAACATTTCTTTTTTGAACACATCTGCAATTTTAGACTCCGTGAACGCCATTTGTGGTCTCATGATGCTCTGCCAAATCACAGAAGTCAAAGGGAATACATGTTAACTGGGAGAACGTTTATTTGTATGAAGTGGCCTGTCACTGAAAGGTGGTACCATATTTCATCCTTCCCGTGAAGTATTTAAATGAACCTCCCCTATAAATGACCTGAAAGGATATGATTAATGGGAAGAATTAATGATCTCTTTCAGTCATACTAAGTCTTTTCCTTCTGTAATTACTGTGGTTTGTTAGTGTTTTGCTTTTTTGTGTTTTATAATAGAAACGAACGTAAGTCACTGTATTTATTTCAAAAATAAATAAGTAAATAATACAATAAGTAAATGAGCCCCACCTGTACTGCAGAAGAAACCAAAGCAAGGCTTTTTCCAGCCGAATGTTCCATATCTTTCTACTTCACCTGAGGGGGGATCAGCAGTAGCATGACATTTTCTAAGGTTTAATGCATAGGAACAGTGGTGGCCGAAAACCTGAGCAAGTGTATGTACAGAGAAACATTTGTTTTAAACAGTTTCTGTAAAATTCAGTACCTCCCAAACACACCTCACGGATAAGGAAATAGGACAACTACAAAAATCTTAAACCCCATTAAAATCTCCCCTGTTCGTAAACAAGCCAGAAAGTTGCCCCAGGTACCAAAATGACAGGGAGAGTTAATTTTGCGGTGTTAGCGCTCATTTTCATGTTGCCCAGTCGATCAGAGCTTTTATGAAATCCAGCCTGATACAATCAAAACCGACACGGGGAAATCAGCCCTGGCTGATCGTAAAGGCAACGTATCACCTATTAGATCAGATATGACAGTGAGTTCCTTAGCCAGATCTTACGAAGCAGCTTATAATGAGAACGTGTCTGTCTGTGAGTGTGCTGGATTACAGTTGCTAATGATGACAGATTTACAGGTGGGAGGGGGCGTTCCCGTTAGGATACTATGTGTTGAGTCACCTCTTCGCTTCTGATGTAAAACGACAACTTTTTAGATCTTGACAGCTTGCGCAAATGAGAGGAGAGAGCCCCCAGCTTCTTCCCATTTTCTTGAAAGGCTGAAATGCTTTCTGTCGTGAATAAATTAACTTCCTGAGCGGGCGGGGGTGGGGGGACCTGCATTTAAGGCATTCTGTTGTTTGGGTTGTGGTCTTTGAATGATAGTATCACAAGGAGTGCTTTCAGGAGGAGAGGACGTGAGCTCCACGTGAGATCATGAGATCATCCACCCCTGGGGCTTGGGAGGGCTGTCACTGAGCATTGGGGTTTCTGACTGGTGCTTCCTCTTCTGAAGAGAAAAGACCCATTTCCTTGAGAGGATGGAGATGCCATTAAAAAGGTTTGACCTGTGCGTAGGAGAAAAACTTAACATCGTCACCTTTTGACCCTTGGTGATTTTTTTTTCCTATTTATCTAACAATCACACCTTTTATACTAAAAGAAATTATTGCAGTATTGAACACCATGTAAGGACTCTGTATCTTGAGTCTTCAACCTGTATTGAAAGGCAAAACTGGGGTAGCTATGATGCCAAAGGGAAAGTAGATTCTCATGTAGTTCATTTTAGCAGTCCTGGGAAAGAAGATTGTTTCTTTCCGATGAACTTAAGTATACTAAATTGACGTACATTATTTTGAATTTCAGGAGGAGGAATTTAGGCTGTACCTTTGGGGGATAAAAAAAAAATTCCAACTCTGTGCATCTAGAGACATTTACATGTTTTCCAACATGTTCTAGAATCTTCTTGGGGGCAGAAAGACTGTTAACTCTGCTTTGAGTGGCTTTTGTGATCATCTTTATAAAATCCAGGTGAAGGCTTAATAGATTTTCCCAGTCCTTTGTTATAGTTATTCAGAATATTTAAAGAGGAAATGTGCTCTTTAAATTGGAGGGAATGAGACTTCCTTATCACTTAGGCACACGCAAGGAAATTCACAACTTAGAGGTGAGTCATGCTTGGCTCTACGGAAATGATATTTTGGTTTCTTTTTCATAAGCAATTACTGATTTTTTATGTGTTTCTCTTTCACTTTTTTTGGTCTTTTACTCATGCTCCTATTTTGTGGGTAGCCAGATGTAATATTTGGCTGCAGAGTGATTTGTGTAGAAAAGGATTCGTAAACAGAGACTTTCCACTGGAAAAAAAAATTATTAGTTGGTTCATTTGTCAGTTTTTACCTTGCTTAGATTTGTGCGCTTGCTCTCCTGAAAACGTATGCCATAAACATTATGGGAAGCGGGCGGCTGGACCAGTTTGGGGAGCACAAGCCTGAATTTCTGCATGAGCTTAAGTTCATCAGGTTACGGGCGTGTTGTTTCTGCTGCAAACACAGACCAGTTTAGGATGTTCTGAATTGGATGGGGTCTTTCCAAACACACACACACACCCTTTATTACACAGAGTTCTCATTCCTTGAAATGCAGGAATCCAGAAAGAAGAGAGAAGTTTCTGAGGGGTTGAGTATCCTAAGACTGGAAGCCAGTGAACCAAAGTGTTGCCCATAGTTCTGATGATCAGGAAGGTTTGACGATGAAGGAAGGAAAGACTCTCTTCTGAAGGATATCAGGACCATATATCACGGTTGCTAAGGAGAAGAGTGATGGTCTCACAGCCTGTGAAGCTTCTCTGTCTTTGCAGAGCTAAATTCTTCCTTCAGTATTCGAGGATGCGGATTCAGCCTGATGGAAGAGAACCTTGTTTTACACTCTCACACCCCTATCTCTGCCTCACCAAGTTTTGTGAAAAGGTCCTGCTATGGGTCGTTTTGCAAGTGAATGATAGAACTTAGGCCAAGTTGGAGTCCTCCCCCTTGGACTGTCCTGATATTTAAGAGTGGATTGTTACATCAGTGTTGGGTTTTTCACTCTGTATTTCCTTTTGATTCAAAATCCATTTTGGTTTTTCTCAGCTCTCATCTACTGAAAGAGACACATTTTTCCAGCACTCTCGCTTCTCCATCTTCATCTGTCTTTCTCCACCCTGCCCTATGTACTCACATGTGGAAATTAACCGCTGCTTTGATTGGTGGGAAAGTACTGGAAGGCCATTCACACTTCCTTATTGATGGCAAGGAGGAAAAAACCTTTTCTCTACCCTGTTAGGTTCAGTTCCTGGGAGCCTGCAAATTAAACTGACAAATGACAGATGAGCAAGAGAAAAGACTATTTACTTAAATAAGGTGCATGCACACACATGAAGGAGTGCTTTGTGATGAGTAACTTGAAGGGACAGTTAGGATTTGGAGCTTTATGTGTATGGTATAGCTAATTTAGTAGGAGAAAGAGTATGGAGCAACAGCCTGTAGGGGAAGAACAAATAGGCTTCTTTATGAAAGACAAACGACTTTTTAGGAGAACAAATAGATAAGAAAGTTTGTGAAAATGTTGGTTTATGCAAGCACAAGCAGTCTTTCTGTCTTTTTCATAGGCTGTGAAATTCCTCAGAGATGGGATTTATGGTAGGTTTACTCTGGTCTCTCCCTTGGGATTAGAAGCCACTCCAAAGAGGGAATTTATGGTAGTCCTCATTTCTCAGAAGTTTCTGCTTTTAGTCAGATAATGGAAGCTCTGAGAAAGCTGCTTTCTGCATGTGTTGGATCTCAAACATCTTCATCTTAAAATAATCTCTGTGTCAACTCTGGGATTCTGAGTGGGTCCCCACAGTGACAGCCAGGATCCCTCCTGCATCTCTCTGTTCTCTGACGTCCTGTGCTGTTTCATAGTGGGTGTCTGAGACCAGTGTCACCCCAGCCTCTCCTCGGGCGCCCCGATAGTAGAGACAAGATCACGTTCCACACGTTTCTGGAGCCTCAGTAAGGCTGAGGTGCAAAGGGAATGGGGGAAGAAGTCTTCAAAATAACAGAGGCAAGGGGCACCTGGGTGGCTCAGTCGGTTAAGCGCCTGCCTTCAGCTCAGGTCATGATC